CGTCTCAATGGCAACATCACTCTCCTGAGTCTTGTTTGAAGAATCAATTTCCGGGGAAACCTCAGCCAGAAGAACTACAGGGGTAGCGGCAATCTTTGAACCCAAGGACCTCGAGGGAACAGGGACATCCTGAAACAAGGGAGACCCTTCAGGAACCTGAGCAGCGGCAAGAGCACTTGACCAACCCTTCAGAAAGAGTTTGTCCCGTAGCACTAGCACCTCTTCTTTATAAGCAGCCCCAGCCTCATCCCAACCTTATTGCCAGTACTTGGCCTCCAACGCAGAACGTTCAACGGCCATCACTGCAATAACGGCCTCCAGCTCTGCCACATTTCCTTCAAGTTGAGCCTGTACCCCAATGGCAGCCTCCTTTGACTTTTCAGCTAAGGCAACAACCTTGCTCAGACGGAATGCCTCCCTCTCGGCAGTTCTGCGTCCTTCTTTCTCGGCCTCCAGGCTCACGGTCAGTCTCTCAACATTCATAGCGGCCTCTAGTACGGCCTTCTCCAGTTTCTCCGCTCTGGTGATGGACAAATGCATCCTTTGAATACACTATGACAGATTGCAAAATGTTAAGGGAAAGAAAACAGTAACATAACACCAAAGAAGAAGAAAAAAAAAAAAAGCAAGAGCGCACTTACAACAGTCATCATCTGAAGGGGCCCTTTCAGAACTAGAATATTGCGGGGCCCGTTATGGTCAGCCATGTCCACCAGCATCAACAGGGTCTTGGTCAAGTCAAAAGCAAAATCTTTGGAAGCAACAACTAAATCAGAAGTAGAAATGGGTCTACCTTGATGCAACATTGGCGGTTCCCACTTCTCAAATGCTTCATCCTCAATATGATCTTCAAAAGCTTCTCCAACTACCGTCTTGCCAGTCTCCCTCCTCCTCTTCTTCGCTCTTGCAGCAACCGAAACAGAGGGTTCGGCAGCAATAGCATGAGTTCCAGAAGCTCCTACCTCCAATTTCACATCCATGAGGCTCTTCACTTTGGCCTTCACCAAAGGAGTCTCCAAAGCATCAGAGGAACCAAAAGCCTCAGCCTCCAAATCCACTAGCACTCTTCTTTTTGACATAGACCCACCCCCTACAAAACTGGGGGCAAAAGAGGGCGTTCTCTCAGACGGTGCACCCTAACTTCGGCAGCGATTCGTAACGAGAGGGGTGAGGAATGTATCAGTCTCAGTGTCAGAATCTAGAAGGGATGCAGCGAGCCTCACCTTCTTCGGAATAGTGGAACGGTAAGTCGCTTGGTAATCCAATAGCTTGGGCACGGACCTCTTCTTGTACCTCAAAACGGCTTTGATAGCCTCAATGTTCTCTCGGTTCGGCCTACACTGAAAACGAGAAGCCTCTACAAAAAAGAAGGACAACATTAGAGCTGCATTCAAAACAGGGCAAGAAATACAAAAGGCACTAGAGGGAAAGACCCGAACCTGGGTAGCCATCCTTCTGGGGCATCCGTTCGAACTGGAACTCGATCCCAGCAGGGAATTCCCAATTACCACCGACTTGCAGAAAATCATCATTATGTTTGTCTGAATCGGGCAGACCAGTCACAAGCTGGCAATCAATCGAACGAACACGAAGATAGTACGTGTTGTGATCCTTGTTATGTGAAAGAGTATAACAACCCAAAATATCCCAGATGTCAAGATTCAAACCCAACCGCTTGTTAAGAACGGACATACCTCAAACGACTCGGAACAGGTTAACAGACACTTGCATCGGGGTAAACTAAACTTGGTGCAAAAATCGGTGCACCAAAGGGTCGAGGGGAAACCAAACCCCTCCCTCAACAATGGACGCAATTGGGAAGGCGACAGTACTCCTAGTGCCCATACGCTTGGCATCAACCTTTGCCAGCGAAAGGGTCACATCATCGAGGATATTATAATCTCGGCGAAACACGGCCATAGCCTCAAGGGTATCAACTAATGAGTGAAACTTCCATATTAAACCAACCTAATGGGACAGAAATAAAACTCATACAACAAGATGCCGGAGACAACGGTGCAAGGGCCAAACAAGACGATCAAAACAGAAAAAAATAGAAAAAGAAGAATCACAAGGGAACTTACAGAGATTAGAGCGGCAATCACGAGCAGACAGCATTGAAGTAAGAATAGTGGCGGAACGTCTGGACAGAGCACCGATGAGACTAGCTCAGAGGAACAGAAAGGGTTTTTTGAACTCTCTAAAAGATTGAATACAGACGAAGGAGTTTGGATTGATGGCTCTGGAGCATTTATTGCACAAGCCAGCGTGAAGGTACACAAAGCACGACCGTCGGTATGGAGTCGGCGCACTATCTCTGCGCACCAACGCCACACCGCCACGTGTCACTATGAAAGGACTGCAGAGGGACTGTGTCAAGATCGAACCGTCACCAAGGCCGAATTGCTGATCTGAAACGATGCGACGCTTGGGGGACAGGACAACAGCTCCCCCCAAGGGAAACCTTAGTGCGAGCTGGGGAGCAAATGAAGAGGCTAAATACGAAATGGGTCAGATCCAAGCCTTGGGCCAGTCCAATCTTCCCAACCTAAACCCAAACGGGACAGATAAGCATGCGGGCAACCCAACTAAGCCAAACTCCATTACCAACAGCCCACCCAAGTCCTCAAGTACTTGGGCCCAACTCGCAGTGAAAAGTCCAATCCAGCCGCGATACTGGGTTAGGGCCGAACTGCAGGACTCATTCTATGGCCCGAACTGATGGGTCAAACCCATCATCAGAACCAAAGTGGGCCAAGTCCATACATAGATATCTGAATGGGCCAGTTCATCCCGACAATAATCTCGCAAAAAGCTAAGCTGAGGCACAACGGTACCGAGCTGAGGCACAACGGGACCGAGCTAAGGGAACCTCTCGGAGAAACGTGGAAGCTGTGAGTATGTACATGTCCAAGTTGCCACCTTAGCTGTCCCTACACCTAGAATCACGGAAGTAGTTAAACCATAGGAATGCGGTTTGTTATCAACATGACTACAATGAGTATATGCACCTCATGACCTCTACCAGATGGTCCCCCACCTAGGCTGAACCTTACTTACTGAAACTCAACCCTCTACACTTAGGGGGCACCTCACTTCTTCTCCGATTACTCATTCCCACACCGAAAGGGTTATCCGGCCAACCCTGGTCGAACAGCTCTTACGGTGTTTCTTGTTGTAAGACCTCAATTCCTGGATAGTCCAATCGATTGCAGAGCTCCGATCCACTTTCATCTAGTGCAGTATCCGGTAAGCACATTAGTCATGCTTTTATTGCATAGATCTAAATTCGAACAGATCTATCTTTGGATTAATCAAATGAACAACATCAAATTTTAAAATATTTTTTGTTTGAATTGTTTCACTTATTTTCCCTTTTGATTGTCATTTTTTAAAATTTTATCAAATATGTTCAGATTCAAATCTATTTGAATATTTTTGAATCTTCATTTCTGAATATATATGAATCTTTATTTCTAAATATTTGTTTGTGATTTCTAAATATTTGTTTGTGTGGGTGGAGAGTGGAGATAGAGGTTTGGGTGTAGATAGAATGAACAGATCAGATATTGATAAACAGATAGGACGAGGACTTTTTTATCATATTAGAATTTGAACAGATCGTTATAGTTGTAGTTATTTTTGTTGTTGTTGTTGTTGTTTCTGTTGTTGATGGAAATGAAACAGATTGCACCATTTTTTATTTTATTTTTTTTTGTTCTTGTGTTAAACAGATGGAAGAAAGAGATATTTGAACAGAAAGAAGAAATAATATTTTTTTAACCAAAAACGTTTGGTTTGGCATGGTATTGCAACAGATAACTCACATCTCTCTAGCAATTGCAACAGATAGATACAAAACTTCACACAGATAGAAAAGATTTGACATCCGATAGAGTTGGTTTGATAAATACGAATAAAATTTGAACTAAAAAGATTTATAAAAAAAATTGAACAAATAGAGGAAAAAATTGAACAGATAGACAAAATATTAGATAGATAGAATTTTATTTGGACAAAGGGAAATTTGAAATGAAAAGATTAAAAAATTAAACAAATAGGACAAAAAATTTGAACAAATTGAGAAAAAAAAAATTAAACAGATAGTCAACGAAAGTGAACAGATAAAAAAAGTCAACAATAAATTAAGGGATAAAATTGAAAACAAAATGTCTTTTAAAACAATAAAAAGAATTTCTCACCAAACTATTTCACAAATAGTGAATCTCTCACTAATAAAAAATATCTACTAAATCTAATACCTTGAACACCCTTTAAATTAGATTTATCACCAATTTCTCTTATATTTTAGCATTAGACAATTTATAAGTGGATCTGTATTTTATCATTGGATAAATTAATAATTGGGTTCTTCTACTTTATTGCTCTCCATTTTGGGAAGGAACAAAATAATCCCTTTGAGAATTAATTGTTTTTTTAATGATTCTTTGACCTTTTTATAAGGTTAGAAACAATTAATGTTTTTAACAAAATAATCCCTTTGAGAATTAATTGTTTTTTAATGATTCTTTGACCTATTTATAAGGTTAGAAACGATTAATGTTTTTGAATTACTTAAATGTTTGACCCTTTTTTTAAGCAACTTTTGAATTTTTTTTTTTTTTACCTTTTTAGTGACCTTTTCACTTTTTTTCTTTTTCTTTTATTTTTTTTTCCTTTTTAACTAGTTTTGACCCAAAAATAAAAATAAAAATAAAAAACAACTTTTTTCTTTTTTTCTTTTTCTTTTGTTTTTTTCCTTTTTAACTAGTTTTGACCAAAAAAAAAAACCAAAGTTGTCAAATGGAGCCTAAATAGAATTTCACAAAATGATTAAAATAAGGCATAAGGTTACACTCATGCTTTGTTTGGCAACTTGATTTTAGGTTAAAATAATTAATAAGATAAAATATTAAATCGTACACATCAATCAATCACTTGTTCTCTCACAACCATCTATTCAACTACAAAAAAAATTCATAAATCATTCCAAACACAAATAGCCAAAAAAACAACTAAAATAACAAAGTCACCAAACAAGGCCTCAATCAAAACAATATATATACAGTATGATCCATGTCCAAAGTCATCCTACAAAAAACCTCAAAACACATCTTCCTACGAGAAGAAGTGAAGCTTCTCAGCCATCATACTCAGCTTAAATCTTTGCCTAAAAATAATGGTACCTACACTCTCTCCAAACAATTCTCTCATCTTCAGTTTCATATTCTCTGTCTGCTTCAACTTATGCTGCTGGAAAAAAAGTCCAGGAAAGGTCATGGATGCAATCACTGATGAAAACGGGAACAAGAAGAACAAGCATGAAGGGAAGAAGATCAAGGGAACTGTTGTGCTGGTGAAGAAAACTCTCATTGACTTTGATGGCCTTAGCCCACCACTTGTCGATCGGGTTGATGAGATTTTAGGGCATAAGGTCTGCCTGCAGCTCATCAGTGCTGTCAATGGTGACCCCGGTAAGCTGCTCTCCTATGCTGTTTCTTCTTCGTTGTCAGTTTCCTGTTTTGTGTTTAAAAAGACCAGAAATATGCAATTAAGAAGAAAAAAAACTTGTTTTAAGAACATAAATGTTTTGAAAACATACAAAAACAAACCAAGAAAACATGCTTGGTGAGTATTTGGAGGTGGTAACCAGAGGTGTTTGCCGGAGCAGAGTTATTATGGGATAGAGCAATCTAAAGGTCTACTTTGGATATTTCAAGTTTGGCCTCTTTGTTATAATCGGGGCAATGACAAGCTTGGTCCAACTTCCTTTTTCACATTTAAAAAAAAAAAAACAGAACCGGGGGACCATCTTTCATCTTTTGCAAATATTAGTAAACTACCATCTGTGTACTTCTCTTTTATTATCTAAAGATTTACATTGTTGATGAACTATAAATTTAATGTAAAGTTTTATTATGCTTTTTTCCAGGGAAAGACTTCTGCGGGAAAATTGGAAAGCCAGCATATTTGGAAGACTGGATTACTAAACTCACCCCTCCATCTGCAGATGTGTCATTCAATGTTACTTTCGAATGGGACGAGGAGATAGGGGTTCCAGGGGCTTTCACTATAAAGAACTTTCACCACAATGAATTCTACCTTAAGACCGTCACCCTTGAAGAAATTCCAGGTCATGCCCAGATCCAGTTTGTCTGCAATTCTTGGGTCTACCCAAATGAGTATTACAAAAAAGACCGCTTGTTCTTTACTAATCAGGTATTAATTAATATATTTTTAGATTAATACAAGATGACTAACCCTTAGGGGTTGGCTGAGCTGTAAAGACTTGAGAATAGGACCTACTGTCTCGAGCTCGAATCACCCCAAAGGGCCACTATAAATTTGCCCAATCGTTAACTTCAAGGTCTCGAAATTAGTCAAAATGCACGCAAGCTGGCCCAAACACCCGCTTATCCAAAAAACTTAACACAAGATGACTTGTTTGAAGTCTCACTTGGGTTGCAGAAAGAAACTTGGTTTAAAAAAATCATTGTTTTATCAAAGAATGACTTCTAATAGCCTTTTTATGATGTCAATATTCGAGGAATGAATCCTTAAGGCAGTGTTTGGATTTTGGATTTTTGGAGAAAAAATAAAAAAAGAAAGGGTAAAGGGCTAATGAAAAGGTCCTCTCCTAATCAACTTCCCTTAATCCAACAACGATTTTTCTTGTAGTATAGTATCTAGCATACGCAGATTATATTACCACTCTCAATATTATTTATGGTCAAGATGACATTATTTCTGAATTAGCCTATCGTAGGCAAATTGTCTATTAAAGAAGCAACATCTGATTATTTGTTGCAGACATATCTTCCAAGTGAAACACCAGCTCCGCTACGTCATTACAGAGAGGAAGAATTACTAACCCTGAGAGGAAACGGAACTGGAAAGCTCGAAGAATGGGATCGCGTCTATGACTACGATTTATATAATGATTTAAGCGAACCAGAAACAGATAAAAAGTATGGCCGCCCAATTCTCGGAGGGTCTTCTAAGTACCCTTATCCTCGTAGGGGAAGAACAGGACGGCCGCAATTGGAAAAAGGTTGGACATTCAAGTCTATTCTCAGTCAGTTACCAGATTTAGGGCACATTTGGTTCAGCTTCTTATAAGCTGTAAGTTGATAATCAAAAAGCTGAAGCCAAAAAAGCACCACTCCACTGCTTCCAGATAATCAGTTTTATATTATGCACTAGTAGTTACAATAACTTGGTAATAAAGACTACTAGTACTTGTTGCTGATCAAAAAAAAAAAAAAAAAGATACATGGTGAAAGATTATATTGAATACTTGTTAACTATTAATTTCATAAATATAGTGATCATGGATTTTGTGGTATTTTTTTTAACAGATCCTAGGTATGAGAGTAGGCTTCCACTTCTTAAATCATGGATTTTGTGGTATTTTTTTTAACAGATCCTAGGTATGAGAGTAGGCTTCCACTTCTTAAGAGCTTAAGCATTTACGTTCCAAGAGATGAACGGTTCAATCACTTGAAGCTATCAGATGCTGTAGGTTATGGGTTGAAATCTCTATTTCAATTCCTTCTCCCTGAGTTTGAGGCTCAATTTGACAAAACCCCAAAAGAATTTGAGACACTTGAAGATGTACTGAAACTCTATGATGGAGGAATCAAGATACCCGATTGCCATTTACTTGAGAGTCTTGGGAAAGAGATTCCCGTCAAGAAACAAAAGGAGATTTTTCGAACTGATGGTGAGCGGCTCTTCCATTTTCCAGTGCCACAAGTAATCAAAGGTATGGTATACACACCTAAGCAGCTAAGCAGACACATATAGGGACACCAATTTCAAGCTATGTAGCTTATAGTATGATATATATTGATATAATTTTAAGAGATAGGACTTGTTTGTCTAATTGTGATTTCTTGAGTCAGACGATAAGTCTGCATGGAGGACAGATGAAGAATTCACGAGAGAAATGCTTGCTGGAGTAAACCCTGTAGTCATCCGTCGTCTCCAAGTAAACTAAACCTTTCTTGTTCTCCATTTATTTAACCAAAGACTTTTTAAAAAATAAAGAAATTCAGAAGCATAAATTTGATAGCTAAATGTTCTGTAGTTTTAATATTCTTCTGAAAAGCCAAATCAGAGCATTAATATCCTTTATCTTCAATTATAACAACAAAAGAAAATATTTATTTGCAGGTGTTCCCCCCAAATAGCAAGCTAAATCCCAAGGTATACAACAACCAGGCCAATTCAAAGACCAAGGAGAGCATAGAAACAAAACTCGGGGGGTTAACTATAGACGAGGTATTTTTCATAGAATTGCTTCTATCATGCTAAAATCTTCAATCAAACAGTTGACAATCATACCAGAAACCATAGTAAATATGAAGGTATTTTCTTGAATAGGCACTCAAGAACAAGAAGCTATTTGCATTGGATTACCATGATGCTTTGATGCCATACTTGAAGAGGATAAATTCAACTTCCACAAAGATATATGCCACAAGGACACTCCTCTTCTTGAAAAATGATGGAACTTTGAAGCCAATGGCTATTGAATTGAGCAAGTTCCCAGAGGAAGATCAATTAGGACTTCCAGAGAAAGAACAGCTAGGAGAAGAGAGTGTAGTGTACACACCTGCAGAACAAGGTACTGAAGGTACCATTTGGCAGTTGGCGAAAGCTTACGTTGCCGTGAACGACTCTGGCTATCATCAACTCATTTGCCACTGGTATGAACCTTTCAAAGATACATTTGTTTTCATAAGTAAATTTCAGGCTCTAGATTGTAATAACGGTTTTGCATATCTTTGGTTTTGGTCACAGGTTACATACTCATGCTGTAATCGAGCCATTCGTGATTGCAACAAATAGGCAGCTGAGTGTGCTACACCCAATTAATAAGCTTTTGCATCCTCACTTCCGTGATACAATGAACATCAATGCACTCGCTAGGCAGATCCTCATCAATGCTGGCGGAATACTGGAGAAAACAGTTTTTCCATCAGAGTATGCCATGGAATGGTCATCTGCAGTTTATAAGGACTGGGTTTTTCCAGAGCAAGCACTCCCTGCAGATCTCATCAAGAGGTAAGTTTACGAACCCAAAATTTGAATGATGTCAAAAAAAGGTCTGAACAAAGAAAAACAATGGCCATTTCCATACTTGTGAAGGTCTGCAAATGAACCAAGCTGGACCCAAGCTTGGCTCAGCTTGGTTCGTTAAGTAAATAAATAAGCTTGAGCAAACTTTTAGGCTTGTTTAATAAACGGGCCAAGCTCAAGCTCAAACAAGTTCAGCTCGTTAAGTTTTTATTTAAATAATAGGATAAATAAATTAATTTACATATTAAATAATACAAATAATAGCCAAAAAAATCTCATTATCGAGCTTCGAGCCAAGCTCAAGCTGGATTTTCGAGCTCAATAAACAAATGAGCCGAGCTTGAGCCCTGCACATCTCGGCTTAGATCGGCTCATTTGTAGCCCTAGTGGTGATTACTGACTCAACACTCTTACCTTCTGCATTATTCAGAGGAGTGGCTGTTGAGGACACAAAATCTCCGCATGGCGTGCGCCTGCTGATAGAAGACTACCCTTATGCTGTCGATGGGCTGGAGATCTGGTCAGCAATCAAAACATGGGTTGAGGACTATTGCTCCTTCTACTATAAGACCGATGAAATGGTTCAAGAAGATTCTGAACTTCAATCCTGGTGGAAGGAGCTCCGAGAGAAGGGTCATGGCGACAAGAAAAATGAGCCCTGGTGGCCTAAAATGCAGACTTGTAAAGAGCTAGTCGAAACATGTACCATTATCATATGGGTGGCCTCTGCTCTCCATGCAGCAGTCAACTTTGGACAATACCCTTATGGAGGGTACCTCCCAAACCGACCAGCCATAAGTCGCCGTTTCATTCCCAAACCAACAGAAAATAAAACTGAATATGAGGAGCTTGAAAAGAACCCTGACTTGGCTTTGTTGAAAACAGTGACGCCACAGCTGCAGAGCATTCTTGGCATTTCCCTCATAGAGATTCTGTCGATGCATACTGCGGATGAGGTTTTTCTTGGAAAGAGAGACACGCTTGACTGGACAACAGACAAAGAACCATTAGAAGCCTTTGAGAGATTCGGAAAGAAGCTGACAGAAATTGAGCACAGGATCACAAGGATGAACGAGGATGAGAAATTGAAGAACAGGGTTGGGCCAGCACACGTGCCTTACACTTTGCTATTTCCAACCAGTGACGTTGGACTCACCGGCAAGGGAATTCCTAATAGTGTCTCTATCTAAGAGTTTTAATTTGGGATTCTTTTTTTTTCTTAGCAGTGTAGTTTGTCTAAAAATAAAATAACTACACACTAATAGTGAAGGTAATGTTTACAGAAAGTTGGGAAATGTTTCCTTATACACATCAAAAATTTTAATTATCTAAAAATGTTCCATACGGTACTCTTTGTGCATCATGTGCACTCTCTAGAGTTACAATTAATATGATCGGAGCTATGAGTAGCCAATGTGGCCGGTAACAACACAATGTGATCCGAAACCACATGCAATCGTAACTGACCACATTGAGTCATAACCTCAATAACACCAAATCATAACCAACTTTTTAACGAGGCTAAATGACAGATACACAATGGGTTGCATGTGAAGTGCAACTTTTTGGGGTGGGCATCACAGAATTTCCATAGTGGTTATAATATCATAGGCATCGAGGCTTCCCATCTACTGTTGCAAACTTCACTCTTGTTTGATGGCAATCAAAGAGTTGATGAGAACCAGAGACTTAATATCGTAGCTGTATAAACACCGATGCTTGTGATGGGAAACAAGGAGTTGATGAAAACCAGAGACCTACAAGCAACTTCTCCGGCCTCTTATTATCCTACCCTTGGTAACATGATGCCCCAATTTTGAGGAGACAAAATTTTACCTAATTCAAAACTAATAGTAAAACAATTTTGGACAAGAAAATCTTAGTTCAATGACACAATACATAAAAATTGCATCTAATAGGAGAACTTTGGAACCACTTCCACAGTATTCAAAATTAAACTTACAGCCATTATTATTCTGTTTTCTGGAATTGTGGAAGTATCTACCCTAGTTTTCTACTATCTATCTAATTTTATTTGCTCACATAATAGTTTGTCAATAGACATAAGCACCATCAAGATTCCAATCATGGTAATAGTACAAGCTTCCTATTATTATGAAGGGGAATTTGGTCAAAACCCACTCATAATAAAACTTTCATGCATTAAAACAAGCACAGAAATTGTGCCTTGAAAAAGCCAACACACACCACCATCACCAAAATATCCTTAGTGACTAATTTTATATTTCAAAGTTTAAAATGATATAATTTTTTTTATCTGTGTCGGTTTTTAATAAAATTGGTATTTTTAAAATCCTCTCATCAAGATCCATTTTGGTCATGAAATTCTTCTAAAAAAATAATCAAAATTTTTACTGTCGAAATTAACATCAACAGTAAAATTTTATTCTATACAATAAAATTTTACTCTGGTTCATAGTAAATTTTACTGTGAAATTTTAGTAGTCAATAGTGAAATACCATCATCATCACTAAACACCATAGTACTATAACTGTTACTGCAACAAGTAAAAGTATTGAATAAAAAAATTTATTAAAGCAATGAAATAATAATGTTAACAGAGTAAAATTTTACTATTAATTTAAAACAGAGTTAGCAAACAAAAGACAGATTTACACACGTGCAAGCACAGAAAGAGAACTTGTGTTAGATGGAAGCAGAAATCAGAGGCAGGAACCAGGAATGACAAGTAATTTTTTAAATAATTAATAAAAATTAAAGAATTGAAAGAGACAGAGGATTCAAACTAGGAGTTGATCATTTAGTAAGTAATTGATATTTCCCAATTCAGCACAACATCTGTAAATAAATTTTAAATATCAGAGATGTCATGGTACCTGTTGAAGAGCTTCAATGTTTTAAGAATTCTTCAAAATTTACAATTTCTGAGTTCAGCACAACATCCATGGATGAATTTAAAATATAGGACATCACCTAATGGAAAGGATCATATCTTCGGTTTTCTTCATCATTTATTACAATATTTTCACATGGAATTTTTTGGCTAAAAACATAGAAAATTAACCAGTGAATAAATGTATAAACAATAGATCATAGCATATGTAAGTAGAAAGAAGAGAATAAAAATGAATGGACCAACTAACACGAAAAATGGTAGAAACTGTTAAATCCTAGGGTTCCATTATAGTTTATGAAAATTATCATGATACTTCATGAAGCAAGGTGTTGGATCTCTTTTTCTACTTTTGCAGTCCTTGTGATGATAAGTTGCAACAGCAGCTTCAATTTTTTGATTAGCTGCAACAGTAACTTCATTCTTTGAATATTTACCACATAAGTGAATTGAAGCCTGGATCAACCCACTACAGAATAAGTATAAAGTGGCTGCTATCATACTCAAACCCACATTCTCATTTTTTACAGCCCGACCATTTTACCACTGCACCAAGCAATGCCCCTACAAATAATAAAATTATGAGTAGCCAATGTGGCCTTTTGGGAAATGGAAGGAAAAAAGTACATAAAATGTGAATGAAATATAACTACATTTCATACACATTTTCCCTTTCCAAATCCCTATCCAAATCCATAAACCAAACACAACCTTAGTAATTCATACTTAGGCCTCGTTTGGGAACAGGCTAATTTAGTAACTTTTTGACTATTTGGCTAAAAAAGTAGGTAAAAAAAACTTATATGTTTGGGATGACTTTTTGGCTAATTACGAAAAGATGTGCAAAAAGTAGAGAGAAAAGAGAAATCTTTGACTTTTTGGTATGAGTTGTTGGCTTTTTGGCTAAAAGGATAACTTTTTGGCTTTTTGGCTAAAAAGGTAAGTCCCCAAACGAGGCCTTAATAAGAGGAACTTTTTATACATGAGGTCACTTTTCTTTCATCTTCAAATATACTCTGGTATTTCATTAGCTTATCACTTACAAAGGTCTGTTAAAAGTTATACAATTATTTAGTTGTGTTGCACTTTAGACCAAAGCACAAGAGATGGAATGCATATTTTTGAACCACAAGGGGGAATTGTTTTGGGGACTAATACAGGTGGTAAAATGTAATTAATCCTTAAAATAATGCAATATTGTAGACCTATTAAAATTGTAAGGCTCTGAGTCTCTTGATCAGTAGCGAAGGAGAAATTTCTACCTGTCCGTGTCACCATAAATTACTTTAGCCTTCCACTTATCACATGCATTTACAAGTTATTCAGCATGTTCCTGTTTTGATGGCCACATTGAACGATACTATCAGCAAGCTCCTCACAGGAATGCGACCATTAAATCCAGCAGCAGTATAGTCATATCTTAGATTTGACATTAAGCTCAAACACAAGCTCCCTTGCATTAAAATCTGAAAAGAATAAACACAAAAAGTAATGGATTAAATAACTTATGCATACCTTCCTAGATAACATAATGTAAAGTAAGACAAAAAGAACAGTTTCCAATAAATATATATATATATATTACTTGAAAATTTTATTTGGGAAACAGTGTGTTGGGAGATTGTAATGGTGCGGTAGACAGAGATTATTTGAAGGGTTTCAAGTATTTTGGTGTTGTTATTTAAGATCTACTGAGTTTTTTTTTTTCCCTTCCTTTCTTTCTTTTCTCTTTGTTTTTTGTTGTTATTGGTTTAATCTTAAAAAATCGTGAGGCCGAGAGGTTGGCTGTGTGGATGTGAGCAGCAATAGTAAGGGAGTTTGCACTCTCTGAATCTCTCTCTGTGCATTTCATTTCCTTGTACCTTTAATTCCATATTTTTAATGAAATTTTACTTTGCCAATCAAAAAAATAAAAATATATATATATTGCACTTACATATATACCTTAAAACAATCTTCAGAATCTGTAACTGCATATAAATAAGCTACTATATTAATAGGAGCCTAAAACTGAAAAGAAAAAAATTCTCTACTTTGATAAGCAACTAGAAGAGTTTATTTATCATATTTTCGAAGATTAGAAACTGGAAGGCTTTATTCAAAAAGAGGGGACAAAAAAAATACAAGAAAGAAGGAAGAGCAATCCTTCTGAACAATGAAAGAAGCCCAACAATACAACATTGGATCTAAAATCTGAAAGAATAAACAAAATTAACAACCTACAAACAAAGATCTAGCTGAATTCAAAAAGGATAAAAATGTCCCTTTCCGGGCCTAATAAAGAACCCCTTGTCTAGCCAAAGAGTTTGTTCTCTAATTGTCTGACAAAGTGATCCATCAAACCACTGCTCCTAAAGATGAAATCAATCTAATATCTTTCTTAGAATGTGCACATATAGCCATGTGGCAATATATCTTGATCAAACCTATCCCACAGATGACCAGAAACAAAAAAAACATATCCCTCCAGAACAACAGAATCTCCCCCACAAAATTAATGCACGGAATTCTCTGAGAACTTCCAAATGAGCACATATCTCAGCCTCAATTGCATATCCCTTAACTGCTAGTACAGAAAACATAAAGAGGGTGAAAAAATAAAAACAAAAATCCCTGACATCATCTCTGAATCTGATGATACCCCCAATGTTTAACTATCCCTGATTACTCTCCAACAAGGACCATGATTCTGGTATTGGGGTTAGACTAAATTTGCAAAATGGGAGGATCATGTGACTATAAACTATCAAAACCCAAAAATCAAGGGATACATGGAAAGAAAACAGGGATAACAAAAGAAAAAGTAAAAAGTTCTAAAACTCATTTATTTCAATGTCTTATGCCTTTTTTCCCCCACATTTCATTTAGTATTTGCTACAATCCACAAAGGACTTGCATCACATATCCAAAGCCAAGTTTTACATACTATTTTAGTTCTTTAAGAAATTAAATCATCTAAGTCAAACATCTAAATATGCATCAACTTCCAATTTAGATAATTAGGTGAAGGAGTCTAGAGTACTCAAGATCACTTAAACTAGAATTATGTGAGGCCACACCCTGCGAAAAACTTGCTATGAAGGGGGCAACTTCATTATTGCTTGTTTCACCATAATTCTAGCAGATAATACTCCCTCCAATAAGCGAGGTAGTACGCATTTAAGACCTGTATCACAACATGTAATGTACATTACCGTTGCAGGTAAGATGGAAGCAACAGAAAATTCTTACAAACCGTGGCACAATAGAACGAAGAAAGATACAATAGTGATAGAAAAATATCTCTAAACAAATCAAACATAATCATTTTGGACAAAACCAATCTCAATATCCCCAGTAAACATCAAGACATTGATTATTAAAGGGAAGGGGTAACACCTTTTATCTTCCTCGCAACAATTTAAATTAATTTTTATTTGAGCACTTGTTCTTCACAATCATATAAAGCTCAATTCAAGAAGCACTAAAACCAGAGGAACTATTTTCCCGCTTTTTCTTTTTAACCTTCAGAATCTACAAGATTTCTAAGATCACATGAGGGATGATGACCCTAAAGAACAGCAGTTCACAATACCCTCATACACCATGGGATGGTCATGATATCCACGTAACAATATATCTGTCTCATGTAAGACTTCTGGGATTTATCAAAAAAAAAAATTTAAGACTTCTGGTGTCATTGCAAGATACACTCCAAAAGGAAGGTTTATCCATCATCCCTAGGGGGATTCAACAAAATATAAAACATCCACGTTGTTTGTTGTGGGCTCCATCTTTTTGTTCACAACCAAACATGTGACTTTCTTCTCATCCAGCTCCTCACAAATGAAATGATGAAAAAAGTTTACTTGCCAAATCTTTCTTTGAATGCCAATCCAAAGGTAATCAAGGGAACGAGGTTTATCTTGGAGAGGAGTGGTCAGCCAAAACAAGCTATCATAGACTCTAAATGAACCTAAACCAAACCAAACCAGGCCTTAAGTCCCATCAAATGGGAACTCTAAATCAACCTAAAAACCAACAACAACAACAACAACTTGGTTAAAAGGAGCTTGGTACCTATGAATGCAACAACACAACAAATATGATGCAATGAAAAGGCATCAGACGGAAGACTGAAAAAACTACTTACTTATGTTTAGCTTTACAATATCCCTCAATCAAGGCCTTATATGTTATCCCATCAAGTGAAGAACCCAGCTCCTTCATCTTCTCAATCACCTCCTCTGCTTCAATTATTTTTCCCATCTTGCATAATCCATTAACCATTGTATTGAGAGTGATCCTAGTGGCAAAGCCTCCAGCTAAAACATGTTTCCACAACATTAAAGCACCCTCAAAATCATCCTTCTTGAAAAATCCATCAAGCATGATACTATAGCTAACCTTGTTTAGAGCCACACGTCTTTTCAGCATCAAATGCCAAAGGTGTAAAGCATCACCAAATTCACCTCTTCGACATAAACCTTTCAGAAGAGTATTATAAGTTACAACACTTAATTCAATAGATTCTTCCAGCATTTTGTCACAAATATTAAAAGCTTCAATTGTATGGCCTTTTCTACAATAACCATCTACAAGAGTATTGTAGCTATAAGAATCAGGCTTTAACTTCCAACAGGACATGGTTACAAGTAGTTCCTCTGCTTCATGAACTTGATCGAGTTTGCAATACCCATTGATCATGGAATTGCAAATAAACAAATTCATCTTTAATCCTAATCCCAGCATCTCATCCTTCATTCTCAAGGCATCATTCATTCTGCCATTTCGACAGTACCCATCAATCAAAACACCATAAGCATATTCATCCACAATCAACGATGGCTCCTTTTTCATGGCTCGAAGCACATTCTCTGCTTCATCCATCTTACAAAGTTTGCAATAACCCTTAATCACCAGCGTATATGTAACCACATTCATTGAAACTCCTTTTTGATTCATCAACTCCAACACTCCTTCAACCCCTTTTACATCTCCTAGCTTGACATAGCCATTGATCAGACAATGGTAGGTCACTGCATTCGGTTCAAAACCCAAATCCCCCATTTCTTTCAAAAAATCCAGAGCTTTATCAACTCTGCCACCTTTACAATACGCATCCACCATTATTGTAAAAGTATATACATCCGGAACAATTCCAACCCTATTCACTTGATCATAAACACAAAATGCAGTGTACCATTCACCATTTTGAACCAAACTATTAAGCAAACTATTACAAGACCCTAAGCTCGGCACACGACCGAACTTACCCATTCTGTCAAACACATACAAGGCATTTTCTGTCAAACCCTTCTTAGCATAAATCTTCAGAATCATATCGAAAACAGTCGGCGAGAACTTGAATTCTCTATAAACCCTAACTAGTTCATCCCAAACCACAAAACTATTGTTCTTAGTCTTACACATTCCAACAAGTTCGTTCAAGTAAACCCTCGTTTCATCGAACATTCGACCTCGTGAAAGTATATGAACAATCTTACAGTATGATTTGAAGCAAGGTCTGAAATTTTGCTGTTTCGAAGCCAATTTGAAGAACTCTAGAGAGGCGTTAGGGTTCAACCTGAGTTTCCGGAGGACGGCGTCGACGAGGTCGTCAGAGAAGTCGAAGGGGAGCTTGGCGACGGCGTTGAATCGCCGGAGAACGAGAAGTCGGCAGATCCGATCAAGTAATTCCGGTCGGGTCAGCTTCGACTCGTCACGGAGCTTCCATTGGAGGGTTGGCGATGCGTGGATTGATTGGGTTTGATTGAAGAAAAACAAGAGAGTTGTTGTGGACTTCACAGTCGTGACTTTCTTCATCGGCCGTGTTTGGTTCGGAGGAAAAAAAAATTTATCTGAGGAAGTTCTGGTTCAGCCATGGGTCCGACTGTTCATCCGAAATTGGAAAAAAGGGTTTTCTGTATTTGGACTCGCCCGATTCCCAAACGGTGCCCGATCAGGAAGGTAATTTGCCGTTTCGCCCCGGATCCGTACCCGCTATTCTGATTATGATTATTCTCTACTTGACAAGAAGATTGATACGAAATGGAGTTTGTTGATCTCGGGCTTCTTCCATAATATTAGTTATATAATTTTGAAGAAAGCACACATCAGTTACAATTTTATAAAATTTATAGGAGTGGCGGTGGTAAAAGGGTGTTGGCGGTGATAGTGATAGTAGGGCAATAGTTGTAATAGTGTGTTGGAATAATTCGCCTTGAATTCTTCAGTTGATGGTTTTCGGGTCTTCAAAACTTGGCAATGATCTTATCTATGTAGAATAAAAATTTGATGATTCAAGTCGCTTTCCTAGAGATAATATTTACACCCACCAAAAAGTGTACACGGAATTACAATAAATTCACCTCTAGGATAAATGAAACATGATCTAAAGATCGAATCTACCAACGTCTGCACTGACAACAGTAGATCCAAATATTCTTGATATAATCAAGAAAACCAAGACACTAATAATCAAGTCTACAGAATTTGATTACCAATAAGAAAAGTATAAACTTGCTTAAGAAACTCTTGATCGAAAATTCTAAATCAAGAGAGAGAGAGAATTGTGAAAATGCTTTCCGAAATTTGGATGGATTGAAATGGATGATTTTGCAGCCTATGTATAGGCCTTGATGCATTTGAAGGAATGATCCCTTGATCGCATCCGATCAGATCTAACCGGTGGATCGACGATTTATGGTGCAGGTCATTCTCACACTAAACAGATGCATTGACTGATCATACCTAATCACGATCGGGTGTCATCTTATCCGCACGATCGCACGCATCTTCCAATCAACGGCTATGATTCTACGATCGGTTGGTTGACTCATCGCCAACGAACGCCACATCACTGTCATGTGGAGCTAATTGTATTCTACGATCAGTTGGTTGACTCATCGCTAACGAGTGCCACATCATTGTCATGTGGAGCTAATTGTATTCAACGTTGGATCCACGTCATCGCTCCAACTTGTCTGATGCAATATAGGAAAACGTCGATGTGTTTGTGCTAAGTGCAAAGTACTCCATTAAACGCCACACAGCCCACGCCATTCATCTGTGCGTGTGCGTGTGAGTACATACACACTAATATCCATCTCATAATACCATATTCGAAGGAATATTCCATGTGGCACTTTATTAATTGCTCCATGTTTTCCTCTCTTTCCGATGTGGGACAAAGTCCCTAAACTTATTTTATATATTCCAAAGAAAAACATGCAAGGTTTTGAAAACACCCAAAAACTAATAAATTTTTGAAAACTCATTTTGAAAATTCCCTAACATTCCCTCACCATTTTCAAGATATCAGATGATGATTCTTGGTTCACTTGGCAGCTTTATGCATAGGTGAAGATATCTTACGATTTAAATCATTCACTTAGTAAAGACACTTCAAAGTTAGTCAAAATGGCATAGTAGACTTATCTTTGAACTAGTGATCTTATACAACTAACCAGGCATGTCTCACGTATAATACAAGTTACCTCAAGTATTCAAACAAACCGACACGTGGATTGACCTTGTGTCTATATCCTGTTTCATAAGCACTCTAGAGTCAAGCCCTTGGACTCATAGGAAACGACACCACCTACTACACTCACATAGGTAAGCTTACTGAGAGTACCTCTGTAATTTACAGTACCCTAACAACTCAGTTGTAAGCTTATTAAGAATTTGCTAACTCATCATCTTCTTTTCACATTACAGGTACCAAGCATTTCAACCTTGGGATGAAAATGAAATAAAACTAAGTGTTGTAATCACGGCATATGGTGTATTTGGGCTCATTGAACTCAAGACTTGATGTTTCTTCAAGCGTTTAGTCGAGTTTCCACTAGGAGTGATTATGTTAAGTGGTCTTAAGGCCCATCCCCTTTGATGTTTTCAACACCAAATCCCTTGCAAGTCCCTTTGTTAAGGGGTCAGCCAAGTTTTCACTTGACTTTACATAACTAATGGTAATCACACCTTCTGTGATTAACTGCCTGACACAACTATGTTTCAGTCCTATATGCTTGGACTTTCCATTATAGACATGGCTATAGCCCGTGATAGAGTTGTTTCACAATTACAATGCAAAGATATTGGTGGCATAGCCATATCTTAATCTCTAGCAAGAGATTTCTTAGCCACTCTGCCTTTTTGCTACAAAAAGCCAATGCCACAAACTTTGATGCCATGGTTGAGTCTATTATGTATGTTTGCTTCTTAGAACCCCAAAAGATAGCTTCTTTTCCAAGAGTAAAAATCTAACCACTTATGGACGAGTGATCTTGCTGATCAGTTATCCAACTAACATCCATGAATCCTTCCAACATTGTTGGATAGCCATTATAGACTATTCCATAGTCTATTGTTTTTCTCAAGTACCTAAATATACGGTTAACAGCATGCCAATGCACACTACTGGGATTACTAGTGTATCTACTAAGTTTTTCCACTGCAAATTCAATATCAGGTCTAGTGCAAGTCATGGCATACATTAGGCTACCTATCACTCTTGAGTATTCTAGCTGATCAACAGTTCTTCCAGTATTAGGATACAATTTCAAATTTGAATCAAAAGGTGTAGACATGGGTGTACAATTATATTGACT